TATGTCCTCCTCTGAGAAGTGTCTGTTCAGGTCCTTGGCCCATTTGTTGATTGGGTTGTTTGTTCTCTTATTGTCTAATTTTTGGAGTTCTTTGTATACTCTGGATATTAGGGCTCTATCTGAAGTGTGAGGAGTAAAGATTTGTTCCCAGGATGTAGGCTCTCTATTTACCTCTCTTATTGTATCTTTTGCTGAGAAAAAACTTTTTAGTTTGAGTAAGTCCCATTTGTTGATTCTAGTTATTAACTTTTGTGCTATGGGTGTCCTATTGAGGAATTTGGAGCCCGACCCCACAGTATGTAGATCGTAGCCAACTTTTTCTTCTATCAGACGGCGTGTCTCTGATTTGATATCAAGCTCCTTGATCCATTGTGAATTAACTTTTGTGCATGGCGAGAGAAAGGGATTCAGTTTCATTTTGTTGCATATGGATTTCCAGTTTTCCCAGCACCATTTGTTGAAGATGCTATCCTTCCTCCATTGCATGCTTTTAGCCCCTTTATCAAATATAAGGTAGTTGTAGTTTTGTGGATTGGTTTCTGTGTCCTCTATTCTGTACCATTGGTCCACCTGCCTGTTTTGGTACCAGTACCATGCTGTTTTTGTTACTATTGCTCTGTAGTATAGTTTGAAGTCTGGTATCGCTATACCGCCTGATTCACACTTCCTGCTTAGCATTGTTTTTGCTATTCTGGGTCTTTTGTTTTTCCATATGAATTTCATGATTGCTTTCTCTATTTCTACAAGAAATGCCGTTGGGATTTTGATTGGCATTGCATTAAACCTATAGAGAACTTTTGGTAATATCGCCATTTTGATGATGTTAGTTCTGCCTATCCATGAACAGGGTATATTTTTCCATCTTCTAAGATCTTCTTCTATTTCTCTCTTTAGGGTTCTGTAGTTTTCATTGTATAAGTCTTTCACCTCTTTTGTTAGGTTGATTCCCAAGTATTTTATTTTTTTTTTTGAAGATATTGTGAATGGAGTGGTTGTCCTCATTTCCATTTCAGAGGATTTGTCGCTGATATACAGGAATGCCTTTGATTTATGCGTGTTGATTTTATATCCTGCCACTTTGCTGAATTCATTTATTAGCTCTAATAGTTTCTTTGTAGACCCTTTTGGGTCTGCTAGGTATAGAATCATGTCATCTGCAAATAGTGATAATTTAAGTTCTTCTTTTCCTATTTTGATGCCTTTAATTTCTTTTGTCTGTCTAATTGCTCTGGCCAGTGTTTCGAGAACTATGTTGAACAGAAGTGGTGAGAGAGGGCATCCCTGTCTTGTTCCAGATTTTAGAGGGAATGCCTTCAATTTTTCTCCATTCAGAATGATGCTAGCCTGAGGCTTAGCATAGATTGCTTTTACAATATTGAGGAATGTTCCTGTTATCCCTAGTTTTTCTAGAGTTTTGAACATAAAGGGATGCTGTACTTTGTCGAATGCTTTTTCCGCATCTATCGAGATGATCATATGATTCTTATTTTTAAGTCTATTGATGTGGTGAATAACATTTATTGATTTCCGTATATTGAACCAGCCTTGCATCCCAGGGATGAATCCTACTTGATCATGGTGCACAATTTTTTTGATAAGTTTTTGTATCCGAGTGGCCAGAATTTTATTGAGGATTTTTGCATCTAGGTTCATTAGAGATATTGGTCTGTAGTTTTCTTTCTTTGAAGTGTCTTTGTCTGGTTTAGGTATCAGGGTGATGTTGGCCTCGTAGAATGAATTTGGAAGTTCTCCCTCTTTTTCTATTTCCCGAAGTAGCTTGAAAAGTATTGGTATTAGTTCCTCTTTAAAGGTTTTGTAAAACTCTGCTGTATACCCATCCGGTCCTGGGCTTTTCTTAGTTGGTAGTCTTTTGATGGTTTCTTCTATTTCCTCAATTGATATTGGTCTGTTTAGGTTGTCTATATCCTCCTGACTCAATCTGGGCAGATCATATGACTTAAGAAATTTATCTATGCCTTCACTATCTTCTAATTTATTGGAGTATAAGGATTCAAAATAATTTTTGAAGAAATGTTCTTGAATAAATGAATGAGTGGTCTCCTAACATTCTTCCCACACATTTATTTTTAGGAAAGCCAAAATTGTTCTCTGACACTCCTACACAGAGTGGTAATTCCAAAATCAAGAGTCCCTGTGGTCTGCTTCTATTATATGTTGTTTTGGATATTTCTTATTCATGCTGTCTTATCTCTTTCCTGTGCTTTGTTATCTTTGACTTTATACTAGAAGTTATACTGAAAAATTATATGTGGGTGGGAATAATTTGATATTTTTTCATTAGGGGGGATTTTTTTTTTTTTTGCTTTTTCCAGGCACACGGGAGTGCTAGCAGTACAACAAATATTTATGGATGGTGGAAATTCAGTTATGAACAAGAAATAGTCTTTCTCTGAATGAGCAATAGGATCCATTTAAATAGAAACCATTAAAAATAATTTAGTTCATATAAGTTTGATCAGCATCCAGCTTTTCCTAACAGTATCCATCAGCACCTGTTAAAAAGTGGCATGCTGGGCTGAGCAGAGATACTCTGATGTAACACTTATCCCTCTCTTGCAGTCTTATTTCTCAGATAATTTAGGAAAAAAATGTCTATGAGCTGATTATTGTATTCATCATAGAAAAATCTAATCCGAAATAATCAGAGCAAATTTATTTCCTTTGACCAAACATCGAAGAAAGAGGACATTTTAAAATACTATGCTAAGGCAGTTATTAATTCATGACAGAAATAAAACCATAACACATGTCAATATTATAAATGGAAATCTGCAGACCATCTGCACGGGGACTCAAATGTTTGTATCTAGGTGGAGGAACTGATGAATACAGTCCTTCTATACCCATGCACAAAGTATTCAGTTTCAGCCCTCACAAGCTAGAGGTTGGAGCTATTATCAAAATACTAGAGAGGCTGACTAGTTGATGAGGAATCTGCTATGGAATGGAACCCAAGGAGACCACAACTCAATCATAGTGACCAAAAGACATGCACTAATTCTCTGGGCTTAGCCATGACCATCTAACTCATTTCCAGGTGTTGCTTCATCCTAGTTTAATTTTGTGGACAGGTTTCTTAAATGAATAAAAAAATAAACCCACTCCTCACCCATCACTAACTGTAAAAAAAATGCTCAACAGGAAAGCTGACTTAGGAGATTTATATTGAACTACCAAAATTTATATATTAATATCATTCATGTTTTCTGACCAGTAGTAGTTTCCTGCTGTGAGTTCTTAAAAATCCTTTCATGTTTCTTTGAAGGAGATTCCTTTTCCATGTAAGCTTTACTTTTAGGTTCCCTATTTCCATGAGTTTTCTCTCTATTTTACATACCCCAGTGTCTTACTTGACACCTCTACATCATTACCTTTGAGTGATTTTTAGGAGAAAACCAGGTTAGTGTCTGAATTCAGGCAAATCTAAGACATCTGTCGAAATGGTCACTTTCAGTGAGGAAGCCATAACCCTACAGAATCATTAATTAGTTCTTAAATAAGATTTATGCCAAAGTTAACTGGGCCTGAGGAGATGACATTTACTCTGCTTAAAAAAAATAAATGAGTAACCCTGTCAATTAAAACTTAAACTTAAGATAGAATTAGACCTTGAGTGCCCCCCCACCCAAAATGCATGTTTGATACAGACTTAAGAATAACTAGGCTCAGTAGCCATCCATACTGAGCCTCTGGGGCAACCAAAGGTTGTTTGTGGTTTCCTGTCTTTGTTTTCACCTATCCCTTAGGTGATTTGGTATAGGCTTCCTCCTGAGATCTTGAGATGCCTCTTACTTTGAGTTTCTCATCGCTGTTAAGACACACAGAAATGGCATCATCCATCCAAGAGCACAAATATTTTGTTGAGCTCTTAAAATGAGGGAGGCACTTTGCTGGCGTCATAGAAGACTTAAAAGGAAAATTCGATATGGCTTCTCTAGGAATTCACAATCTACTAGATAAAAAAGGCACATCCAGGGATGATTCATATTACATTAAAGGTATGCCATAGGGTAAGTACTATAAAGGATGCCTAAGCAAATCCAAAGCTGGTATGGTTTAGTGTATAAAAGAATTTGAATGCCCTTCTGAGTAGTTCCTGAAAAGGGAATAGCTGTTACCAGATTATTCTCCAAACAAGACTGGGACATAATTTTTAGGGCTCAGTATAAAATGAAAATGCAGGGTCTCTTACAAAAAAAGAATTTCAAGACAGTGACAGCAGGACATTAAACCAAGTGTAGGGGCCTTCTGACTATGGGGCTCTGTGGGACTGCATAGGACACATGCTCATGAAACTGGCTGGTCTAAATATAGTCTGTAAAGGAGAAGCAAATTTGAGCAGTCTAGAGGAAATTATACACAGGAAATTTTGTTCCAAGTAGTTCATAGAAAAGTAAAATTACTCTAAGGAAAAAAAAATAATTTGGTCTTTCCCAAATTAGCAAATGGGGTTGAGATCTAAAAGATGGGAACGTTATGATCTGCAGAGGCATTTTCATATATATGTATATATTTCACAGCTGCAAAGTAAGGGTAATAATAATAATAGTTGTACTAGTTAGTAGCTCACACTAACATATAGAGCTTATTAAGTGTCAGGATTCTTCTAAACAGATTACATATATTTTCTTATTTAATCCTCAAAATAGTCCTGGAGGGTAAATGCTGTTATTTTCCTACCTTATTACAGATGAGGAAACTGGCCTTAGAGAAGCTGAATAACTGCACCTGGTCGGTCACACAGAAAATAAGCCAGGTAGCCAGGATTTGAACTCAGGAAGTCTTGACTCCAGAGTCTGGGTTCTTAGCTGCTATTTATGCTACCTTGGAAGGATGGAAGGAAGGACAGACAGATGGAAGGGAGATACCCTAGTATATTCATTCATTAATATCATAGATTTGGCCTAACCAAGATTATACTGTGTGTACATTTTTTAATTTTTCTTTTCTTTTCTTTTTGCATTATTTCATGTTCATAGTTTAACAGCACCCGTTCGCCCTCCCCCACTGAGTGTTGCCACATGGCCCCATGGAGTAGAAAGGTATTGGTTCTGAGAACATTCCTTCACAGCCCTATCCTATACTCTCTTCAGAAGCTCTCCCTTTCTTCTCTCCTTTAACTTTATTGCAAACTCTCTTCTAACTAACAGTTGTTCTTTTAAATTCAATTTAAAGAACGGTATTTTCCTAACTTGAATTAAACAAAATATAATGGAGACAGCCATAGCATTGGAGTTTTCCCCCATTTACTGCCCCCCTCCAAGTTGTAATTTGCGGCTCTGTTCAATATGGGCAACGCCTACTGGCCACTGCTGCTGCAGTTCCAAGGAAAGAAATTCCAACTTGCCCTATATTTATCAGAACTGTAAAGTTTCAGCTTTTCAAATCGAAAACAGAGAACAGGATAAAAGGATTCTCTGGCAGTCAATTGTCCCTGTCACCATGAAATAAAAGTGCTTTTGGCTGCTGGTCAGAGCCAGTAGTCAGGTCACTATCCTTTAGTCCTTTCCAGGTCCATTGTTATTCAAGGAAGGAATCGCCTACCAAATGAGGCCTCTGGTGGTGGGGGTGTCTCTAAGTTCTGCTTTTGCGTGCTTCAGCCCTAACCTCCCCCCCCCCTTTTTGCATGCACCAAACTTTTTTTTTTCTTTTTTGGAAGTTACCTAGGAAACAAAGTCTTTTGTGCTCCAACTTTATTTGAGCTATTCACTTCGCTGGGAATCTGCACAAAAGCTGAAGAGAGAAAGAAGGTTGCAATATTTTATTAAAACGTTCATGGCGAACACATTTTTCCCAAGGGGGGAATCACATCCTGTTGGGTGTGTTGGGGGGCTTTGCAGAAACCTCGGATAAGGTAAGTAAATAGTGGGAGTTAGTTTAAACAAGTGATTCTAGAATCCGTTCTTTAAAGGAACTTGAGAATAGTTCATTTGACAATACGTGAAATCCTCTGAGTCAGCAGGGCAAGATGTTTCCAAATGTGAAGAGAATTTTTTTTAAATGATCCTGATTTTAGAACAGAATATTAGATATTTAAGCAGAGTGTTATCAAAACCTTACTGGAATAAGAGGAAAAAGTATTTCTTTTATACAGATACCCACCTTCTTCCAAATCATATAAAGAAATAAAACTAGGTTCAGTAGTGAAAACTGGGTCTTTTAGTAATCTGGTTTAGAAATCCAACCCTGAAATCAAAACTGGGATGTAACTTTTTAATAACCTGGGCCAGGTGCCCAATCCTGAACAGAAGTTAGACAATATTAATATTCATCAAAGGTTTGAATGGAGAATTTTCAAATGTCATATAGAAATGAAAACCTCTTACTACATAGCTGAAAGACAAGTTTTACAGGGCAAAGCTGAAAGAAAATAAACTAGGACTGTTTTACTCTTCCAAATTTGAAAAAGAAACCCACTTCAATCTTTTTCCCCAGTAATAGCAATTGTATTTTCCATTAGAGTTGGGGGGGGGTCTCTTCTCTTTGCTTTTCCTTGTGCATACAGTGTTGATGAAACTGAGTTCTTAAAATATTATTCATAAAAGCTGTCCTCCTGCACTGAAATTAACTTCTTGTATTTTAAAGGCCTCTCAGATTAGGTTGGCTTGTCCTTCAGGTGATGTGTTCTGGAATGTCTCCCGACTCCAGGTTTTCTGGCACATTTTCTGAGCCTTTGGCACATCTTCCTTTGATCCCAAGATTTTTTATAGAAATTTGTGGCAAGATAAATAGCCAGAAAGCAGATCTATTTTTTCCTTAGATGTCTCCTTCAGTTTGAAATTTGGGACTTTCTGACTACCTTGTCTCTCTTCTTAATTCCTTTTAACTGAAGAGCATGTTCGTTTGGTCCATGTTTTCCTTTTGTATTGCTTCACTATTGAAATAATACTTTCAAGTAGTTGTGCTTACTATTTCTGGGAATTCTTCCTTTGTCCTAAAAGCATATTTCTGACCTTGTTTTTTTTTTCTTTTTTCTTATCTAAACTGTGAAATTCCTTATATGTGTGCTTATGCATAAGCTGTGATGACTGAATCTGAATGTACTTCGTTTGCAGTCCCACCCCCCAGAGGACGAAGATACAGATGTCATGTTAGGGCAGAGGCCGAAAAACCCAATACACAATATCCCCTCTACACTGGACAAGCAGACCAACTGGAGCAAAGCGCTACCTCTCCCAACGCCAGAGGAGAAGATGAAACAAGATGCCCAAGTGATTTCTTCTTGCATTATTCCCATCAATGTCACTGGTATCGTTCTCTTGTTGTGGTTTTTTCCCCTTTAGGGGCAGTTGGGTCAGAATATTCTGTGTATTAAATCTGTGCTGTAGGGCTAGGCATTAAGAATACCATTTTGTAAATAAATAACACCTTTTTTTTTTCATCCAAATGCAACCCAGGAGATGCTCAATAGGCTATTGTCAGGTTTGGAACATCTATTTGCATATGTTCTGCTGGGCTACTTGTTATGTAAATGATGGACAGTTTCTTTTTGAAAAAAAATCAGCAAATAGCTCTTTGGCCCTAGCTTACTGAGAAAGCAGCAGTGATTAATCATATGATAATGATGTGTGGCACCCACGGAAAGAAAACAGCATAACCCAGGTTTCTAAAACAGCAAGTTGACCAACTAGAAAAATCTGTTTTCATGCTTCCTTTGATGAAGGTAGGATTGAAAAAAAAAAAAAAGACCATTTAGATTTCTGTATTAATTTTAGGGATTTTTTTTTTACCTAAATACATAAATGAACACTAAATTCTATTTTATAACCAGCAAGTCTGTCTTCTTTTCACTCTCTGTTTTCCTCCTCCTGGGTATAAGAGTTTGAATATTAGTCTAGGTGGAATGAAAGCCTAGCTGGAATTTTCTTCAATGTTTTTTTGATAATTGTGAATTCCAGAACTGGATCTCATCATCTTAAATTGTAAGTCAAATAATGATATAAATAGTCTAACTTTCAAAGATAGAAATTAAATGATCTATCCATTGGGCTTTCTTTAAACATCTCTAGTAGTGATGTTTTAACTTATTTATTTATTGAAAATTTCAAAACAGTCATGTTATGACTGATTTTCATTTTGATTTCATGTGACAAAAGATTTAATGTCCCTTAAGATGCATTTTGGACACAGCTATTATTAACCCCACTCAAATTTCTCTCACATAGAGCAGGAAGCAAACAGACCAGGTATGTGGGACAGATATTTTTTCCTCAAGAAAAAAACAAAGGAGTTCTAGTTGATTGGCCTGTTGTGAGCTGGGAGTTAATTTTTCTGATGACCTATTCAACTTGTAGGAAAATTTATTCTAAATATGTGCGATTATCTGATCTCTGTAATCTAAATGGGATGTATTAGGGTTTTGGCACCCTCTTAAACTAATTTTCAGTTCTGGGAACATCTGATGATTAGCAGCACCTGCTCCCTTCCTGGCACTGTAAGTAAAATCTTGTTTTCAAATTCAGTCCTATGATTATGGGCTATCGTCTATGATTAGGAAAAAGGGAAGATTTCTCCTTCTGCTTTATTTTAGGAAATCCCAGACTAAAGCCTAGATCAGACATTGATTTCAAGAGCTTTAATGAGGATGTCATTATTGCTGTCCACATAACACAATGTCTGTGCCTGTGTATCACCTATTCTATAATTATTAACAGCAAAATGAAGCATTTTAATTTTCAGTCAGAACTAAGAAAGGAAAATTTCGTTAGTAAAAATTATCTGATAGTATTATAATTATTCATCATGTGATACAGATTTTTCAAAGTGAATTCTAGAAACTGTTGGCCCTATAAGCAGAACTCAACTGCTTCATTATACAGCTGAACCAAGATTTATATGCCATCCCCTTGCTTAACAATCAGGATAAAGGATGAGATGACCAAATTCATGACATTTTGGCTGTTTGAGATGAAGCACACTCTGAAAAATTCAACGTGCATGCCTGTGCCAGGAAGAGTTTGAGTTCCTTGCCTCCCACCTCATTGTTCTAGTTTTGATAGGACTACATGTAGTGTTGGTAATACGAGTAAAGAGAGAGAAACTAATGAGCATCAAGATTGGTCCTTTGTAGTTATAAAGACAAACAAACAAATGGCATAAAGATTGAGAATTGAAACTTTACAGATGGAACAGAAGGGGTCCATTCAAGTGCAGAACTGGGGACTGCCCTATATGTTTATTTCATATTGATAGGACAGCTGGTGCTAAACCAAAAAGCATCCAATTTAGTTAGTGGAAGAAAATAGTTACGTGATGATTTAAGAAAACAAATCCAATAAGCTGCTGTGTGTGTGTGTGTGTGCACACGTACACACGCCTACACAACTAGAGGCTAAGGTTTGGGCACAGGAGGTGGAGGGGAAAAAGACTCACAAAGACGCTTTTAATAAAGAAATGGGTCAGGATATGTTAGCTGAACTAATTCAGGTTAACATCTTGGCTTTGAATCTACTATGCAAAGGTATCAGTTTCAGAGAGCCCAGAAATAGACCAGTAAATAATAGTAACCAAAGGTTATAAATCCTTAAGGAGCCATTTTCTGTGTGAGAGTGATTTTTTGATGTCTATTTCTCTTTTCTTTTCTTTTGATTTCTCTCCTTTGATTGTTACTTTTGGCAGTGCGAGCTGTTGTGGAGAGCACCGTTTAGAAGTAAAGCTTAATGTACTGCAACATAATTTAAATAAGAGCTGAATAAGGGCTCCCTTATATTTGTTCACAGGCTTAATCCAAACTCTTCCCTCACTTCCAATCAATAAATATCACTGTGTTCCAAGCAAATGAAAATTTGTTTGCCATTTCTAAAGGCTAATGAGACCTATTTTGTGGGTTGCAGGAGTTGGTTTTGACAGAGAGGCTAGTATACGCTGCTCTCTTGTTCATTCACAATCTGTACTACAGCGGAGACGAAAATTGAGGAGGAGGAAAACCATCTCGGGTATCCCTAGAAGAGTTCAACAAGAAATAGGTGTGGTATAAAAAAATGCTAATGGTTTCTGTCTAGTGCAGATTATGAGGAGGTAAAATGGAAGCCAGACTTCAACCGGCTTCCTTAAAAATACTACATGTTTTAACTGGTAGAGGTTTGGAAATGGTGTGTATTTGTTTTGTATTCAGCAAGTCAGGCGGTATTACTTTTTAACTCTCTGTTCTTGACTATAAAGGTTTAAGTACAAAGTATAGATGTGGGCATATACACTCAAGTTTTGTGATTTAAATGTAATATTTGCTAATTTTTAAATGTTAAGGAAGAAAACACTAAAAATTTTTAATTTTTAAGGTAGAAATTATGAATAAAAAGTAATACGATTCAGTGTAAGATATTTTTTGGAAAATTGTAACTTCATTTAAAGAAAAAGATATACTTTTACAGCATTAGTTATTTTAAAAAATAATAAACAGACTCAAATATTGAGTATTGAAAATATGGTACCTTTGGTGACACTTTTCTATTCTGTTCAATGTGTTTAGAATATCTCTGCCTAGGTTTTAAAAATCATTATTATGATAGCTTCTCTTGTAAATAAGATTTTTATTTCTTCTAACAAAGTCTATTATTTTCATTTTATTATGTTTATATTACAAAATACAAATAAAAAGTAGTATCCAAGAAGATAAAATGTACTTTGGTTAAAAAATGTTGTCACTTTCTGGTGCAAATCGATGTGGTAGTAAAGAGAGATCATAAGATATAACAGCATATCTTCTCTTACTATACATACATATATATGTGTATGCATTTATTTATATATAGATTGAGAGAGAAAGAAGGATAGAAACAGAGAAAGACAGAAAGCATTTTAACTTTCTCCTAATTTGATTTCTCCTAATATTGATTTTTTTATTGATTTTATATTTTATTGATTTTTTTCTGTAAGAGAAACTTACATGCCAGCCCACAGATCTGTGGATATCTGTCAATTAGTCTGTTGATGTATTAAATATCTCACTGTGCTTTCCATGTGCCCTAGATTCTGATGAATCACCAGTGGCCAGGGAAAGGAATGTGATTGTGCACACAAACCCAGATCCCTCCAACACTGTCAACAGGAGGTCCGGAACCAGGGACTCGGAGTGCCAAACTGAGGATATTTTAATTGCTGCCCCATCCAGAAGGAGAATCAGGGCTCAAAGGGGTCAAAGCATTGCAGCTTCCCTTTCTCATTCTGCTGGCAACATTTCTGCGCTAGCAGACAAAGGTGACACCATGTTTACTCCTACAGTGAGCAGCCGTACAAGATCTCGGAGCCTTCCTCGGGAAGGTAATAGAGGTGGAGATGCTGAACCCAAAGTTGGTGCTAAACCCTCAACATATGAAGAGGAAGAGCCTTTCATGGGTGACCATGAAAGAACCCCTAATGACTGCAGCGAAGCTCCGAGCAGCCCAAGTACACAGGAACACCAGCCTGCTTTGGGCCTGGCCTGTTCTCAGCATCTTCACAGTCCCCAGCACAAGTTAAGTGAGAGGGGGAGGTCACATCTGTCCCGAATGGCTGCTGACTCTGGCAGCTGTGACATCTCCTCCAACTCAGACACCTTTGGGAGCCCTATCCACTGCATCTCCACAGCTGGCGTCCTCCTCAGCAGCCACATGGACCAGAAGGATGACCACCAGTCATCCAGTGGGAACTGGAGTGGAAGCAGCTCCACATGCCCCTCACAGACCTCAGAAACAATCCCTCCTGCAGCTTCTCCTCCCCTCACTGGCTCTTCGCACTGTGACTCAGAGTTGTCATTAAACACAGCCCCTCATGCTAACGAGGACAGCAGTGTCTTTGTGACAGAGCAGTACAATGACCATTTGGATAAAGTGAGAGGCCACCGGGCAAACTCCTTTACCTCCACTGTTGCAGATCTGCTGGATGACCCTAGCAATAGCAACACAAGTGACAGTGAGTGGAATTACCTGCACCACCATCACGATGCCTCCTGCCACCAAGATTTTAGTCCTGAGCGTCCGAAGGCAGATAGCCTGGGCTGCCCAAGCTTCACAAGCATGGCCACTTATGACAGCTTTCTGGAAAAGTCTCCATCGGACAAAGCGGATACCAGCTCTCACTTTTCAGTAGACACAGAAGGATACTATACCTCCATGCACTTTGACTGTGGGCTCAAAGGTAATAAGAGCTATGTCTGTCACTATGCAGCCATGGGTCCAGAAAACAGCCAGGGCGTTGGTCCTGGTCTTCCAGACTGTGCCTGGCAGGACTACTTAGATCACAGGAGGCAGGGGAGACCAAGCATCTCTTTCAGGAAACCAAAGGCAAAGCCTACCCCACCTAAACGTAGCTCATCATTGAGGAAGTCCGATGGAAATGCAGATGTTCCTGAGAAGAAAGAACCAAAGATAAGCAGTGGTCAGCACCTGCCTCACAGTTCCAGGGAAATGAAGTTGCCTCTTGATTTCTCCAACACGCCTTCTCCAATGGAAAATGTCAATCTTCCTACCAAGCAGGAACCTTCTTGGGTGAACCAGAGCGAACATGGAATGAAGGAACCTCAGTTAGACACCTCAGATATTCCACCATTCAAAGATGAAGGTGCTGAATCAACTCCCTATGCAGACCTCTGGCTTCTAAATGACTTGAAAACAAATGATCCTTATAGATCCTTATCTAATTCAAGCACTGCTACGGGTACCACAGTTATTGAGTGCATCAAATCTCCAGAGAGCTCTGAATCCCAAACATCACAGTCAGAATCAAGAGCCACCACCCCATCTCTTCCTTCTGTTGACAATGAATTTAAACTGGCTTCACCAGAAAAGCTGGCTGGCTTGGCTTCTCCATCAAGTGGCTACTCAAGCCAGTCTGAAACACCAACATCCTCTTTCCCTACAGCCTTCTTTTCAGGTCCATTGTCTCCTGGAGGTAGCAAAAGAAAACCTAAAGTCCCAGAAAGGAAATCCTCACTCCAGCAACCCTCTTTAAAAGATGGAACCCTCTCACTGAGTAAAGACCTTGAACTTCCAATTATACCTCCTACTCATCTTGACCTAAGTGCTCTTCATAATGTCTTGAATAAACCATTCCACCACCATCACCCATTGCATGTTTTTACTCATAATAAGCAAAACACAGTAGGAGAAACGCTGAGGTCAAATCCTCCACCGTCCCTTGCAATTACACCGACAGTCCTGAAATCTGTTAACCTTAGGTCCATCAGTAAGTCTGAAGAAGTTAAGCAAAAAGAAGGCAACAATACAGATCTCCCCTACTTAGAGGAAAGTGCTCTCACAATGGCTGCCTTATCTCCAGGTAAGATCAGGCCACATACGGCAAAGAAATCAGTATCACGGCAGTACTCGGCTGAAGATAGCATACTGTCCTTTTTAGACCCTTCTGCGGTTGAGATGGGACCAGATAAACTGCATTTGGACAAGAACCCTCCTTTCGATGTGAAGAATCACCGCAATCCAGAAACTGTGGCCTCAGCTGGTAGCAATCTTCTAGATTCAAATGTCATGAAAGACCAAATACAGATGGAGAGTGAGCCTATTCCAGAAAGCACACCAACTAAAAACTGTGGGGTTTCCACAGAAGGATTTCAAAGGGTGTCTGCTGCCCGCCCAAATGGTTTGGACAGCAAAATATTACAGTATGGAGCTGGTCCAGATGGAGTGCTAGAACAGAAGCCATCCTCTGAAGATCAGGAGGAAGGTGCACAACCTGTGGATGTAATCGCATCTCAGTCCAACTCACCAACTAGAACAATGGACATAAGCAACCAACTTAAGCATCAACTTGTTATGAGCCACCACCATGACAAAGTGCCTGGGACTATCCGCTATGAATCAGAGATATCAACTGTAAATTCATTTCCTGAAAAATGTTTTGAGCAGGAAAATATTGCTTCAGGTATTTCACCCAAAAGTGCCTCTGATAACAGCAGAGCAGAGGAGACCCAAGGAAATGTGGATGAGGCTTCATTGAAAGGTCAGTCATTGTTACCCATGTCATGAAAGAAATGTGTCTTAGGGCATTTCCTATAGCATTTCTTTTTTACTTCTCCATAATACAGTACAGCTGTGGGTGTTGGTTTCCCTCCACTATTTCTTTTCATGTATTAAAACAACATAGATAAAAGCTTGTGTTATTGAGGAATTAAGCTTTGAAGATATATTTCTCATGTGAAAACTGGTCGTAAGGTAACTCCTGTTTGATCCCCAAGTCAGTAGCATAGTAGTGTGCTGAGTAGCTTCTTCTTAAAGATAATTCTGTTCTTATTTTAAGAATCATCACCGAGTGATGACTCCGTCATCTCACCACTTAGTGAAGACTCTCAAGCTGAAGCAGAGGGTGTGTTTGTGTCTCCAAACAAACCTCGAACAACTGAGGATTTATTCGCTGTCATTCACAGGTGAGGCAATGTTACCAAGGTCCCAGAAACAAAGGGTACACAAAAGGTTTTGCTTCTTAAATTGCTTTTCAACAAATGCAAATACAGGAATGTCTTTTGTACTTACAGCACATTCAATAGAAACAAAAGCAAGCAAGGAAGAATTATTTTTCCAAATCAAATGGTAGACTTACACAAAAATTGGGAAATGTGAATCTTTATATAGAGAGAGACCTCAATTGAGAGACTCTTATAATAACAGATGAGAGGAAGATGTTGGTTTCCCCCCCAGAAAAGACATTCTGTAACAAGTTTGTGAAAACAATTTGTAGTTACGTAACTTGGAATGAAAGTTCAAACTCCAGTGTAATCATTATGCGCACGTGTGTGTGTGTGTGTGTGTGTTAGTCAGCATTGCATTGCTGTGACCAAAATACCCAACAAGAACAACTTAGAAGGAAAGCTTATTTGGAGTTCACAGTTCAGAGGTCTCAATCCATAGATGGCTGATTCCATTGCTTTGGGCCCATGATGAGGGCAGAACATCATGGCAGAAGGGCATGGTGGAAGAGCACCGCTCCATTCGTGGCAGCCAGGAATGATGGACGCAGGGAAGAACAGCTCTTCTAGGGTATATCCCTAGTGATACACCTCCTCCAGCCTTAGTCAATCCATTCAAAGTAGGATGGACCAGTAAGGTTACATCTCTCACAATCCAATCATTTTACCTCCAGGCGTTCCTGCATTAACACAGGAGCTTTTGGGGGACACCCCATATCCAAACCATAACTCTGTGTGTGTGTGTGTGTGTGTGTGTGTGTTTTGTCTGTGATGCTGGGGATGGAACCTAGAGCCTCACACATGTTAGGCAAGTGCTCTACCACAGAGCTACACTCCCACCCTTCTAACTTTTAAGTAATTTCTTGAACCTCGAGAAATGTGTTCAAAGCTGTAATTACACAGAGCAGAGCCAAATATGTTGATTCACCAAAACAATCAGGAGCCCAAGTTTGAGATAGTGTATATACCTGCCCATTTCATACCTTGGAACACCAATAATTGCTTTTTTTCTCTCTCTCTCTTCTTAAAACTTAAATTTCTTCAATAGTATTAGCCTCCATCTACAAAATTAATGTCCATATCCCATGAACAGGGGATGTCCTCTAAGTAGCTTTCCCAGGACAAGATTGTGCCTATGCTACTCATACACACTTTCTCATTTGGGCCCCTGTGCCCTTGTGATCAGTGGCCCATATTTGCAAGAAGTACAAATTCATTACAGCTGGTAAACAAAGACTAGAGCAGGAACTAGCTTTTGGAAAACACTCATATTCAACTGATCTAGCCAATTGTGATGTGCCTACTTTCACAGATATGGCTGTCTTCTTACAGCAGGCCTTGAGGACCTTGGTGGAACTCCTAAGGGGCAGAACTTGAGAATTATCTTTTCCACCATCTCATTAACTTAAAATTTTTTAAGTTTTTTTTCAAGCAGCTTACAATCTTTTTTTTGGGGGGAGGATTCTATTTTTTAAAGAAACTTCTATTGATATAGTTCTCTCTTGAAGGAGCACTGTTTTTCAACAATTATTTTTTGCTTGTTTTGTTGTTGTTGTTTTGGTACTAGGGATTGAACCCAGGGTCACTTAACCACTGAGCCACATCTCCAGCCCTATTTTGTATTTTATTTAGAGACAGGGTCTCACTGAGTTGCCTAGCACCTTGCTTTTGTTGAGGCTGGCTTTGAACTTGTGATCCTCCTGCCTCAGCCTCCAGAGCTGCTGGGATTATAGTTGTGCACCACTGCACCCAACTTGTTTTGTTTTCATTTTCTGTTTTTAATTTTAGGTTCCAATCATAAACTTTTCCTCATTACCTTACCAGCCACACTTCACTTGGCAGGTGAAGAATCTATTTGGTTTTCTTCACCCTCATACTTTATCTTCAATCCCAGGACAAATTACTAATCTTCTACATAAATTAAGGAGCCAAGTACTTATCCCTAAGGAATCATATGTTGTGTCTGAATGGCACACAGGATGAAAGTAGTGGAATCAGAAAGATCTAGATTTGAATTACTTCTGCCACTTTCTATGCAGTCTTGAATAAGTTAAAACCTATGAACCCATCCCATTAGTGTAATGATGATACCAACAGGTCACATATTTGATTTTGATGATAAGGTGATATTTTTGTGTCTAGAATATGGTAGGTCAAAAGCAAAAGTTAGTTTGAAAATTCTCCCTTATGGGAGTGCCAGATACTATATGCAAGTTATCAACCACAGAGGTTTCAGTGAACCAAAATCAGGCTGATCTCCAATTATAAAGCTCACATTTTCTTTACATTTTTAAAATTTAGTTTTTAGCTATAGGTGAACACAATATATTTATTTTACATTTACATGATGCTGAGGATCAAACCCAGTGCCTCACGCATGCTGGGTGAGTGCTCCACCTCTGAGCCACATCCCCAGCCCTTCTTTACATATTTTTAAGTTGGTGAGAGAGCATGTTGCCAGTACTTTTCAATGAACTGAGTTATGCTGTAGATTCATTAAATTTATACCTGCTTACTTATCAAAAGAAAATCAATAATATGATGATGGGTGCAGACTTATCGAGGTTGATAATCTTAGATTTGCAGTTGTATAGGGTTTACTTATGTATTTACACCACAGAGATAAGAGTTAGTTTGATTCCTTGAGAGCTTGCAGTATATAAAGCTTTAAGAACTGCAAGGATGGTCTAGATGCTGAATTCCTCACAGAGTTTGGCTTACCACTTAACATGCTGTTGGTGTTCCTGGGCAGCTATGGGAAATGATATTTGCAGCCAAAGATGAATTGATTTACTTAAAAAGTCATTTGACTAATTTTTTTATGTGAAAAGTAGAAAGTTGTCTAATGCATCCCCATATATCTATCACCCAGACCCATTAACTCTCAAACTAGGGTCAGTCTTGTCCCGTCCACACTTCCAACTATTTGCTCTTTCTAATATTGTTTGGAAATCAATTCTCAACACCAAAGTATTTCATCTACATCGATAAGAAAAAGCCACAGTCATTCACCACATTGTAATAAAAAGTCAGATAGCAGTATTTTCTTAAACCCCTGCAAAACATCCCAATAAGTCCTCATCTATAACCTCCAGCCCCAACATTGGCTGTTATCTGAAAAGGGCATCTGCAGAAAGTAACTGATGCCCACCAGTCAAGGAGAATTTTCCTCAAACTGTGAGTGTCACAGGGCAAGGAATATATCTTACTCTTCATCTGTGTAGCTCTAATACTTAGTATCCTATCATGTAGGACACACTCAAAATACTCTTCAAATAGATGTGTGAATGGAACTGAACTCTTTGCTTCATAAAAATGTATGGGACTCAGATTTGCTCCATTGTTTTCCTTTTCTTAAAAGATCCAAGAGGAAAGTACTTGGAAGAAAAGATTCTGGGGACATGTCTGTTCGAAGCAAATCGAGAGTTCCCCTTGGCAGCAGTAGCAGCGGGGCCAGTTCTGTCACTTCGCCCAGCAGCAACGTGACAACTGCAAACAGCCAGAGGTCTCCTGGTCTCATCTACCGCAATGCCAAAAAGTCCAACACATCCAACGAAGAGTTTAAGCTGCTACTCCTCAAGAAAGGCAGTCGCTCCGATTCCAGTTACCGCATGTCTGCCACTGAGATCCTGAAGAGTCCCATCCTGCCCAAACCTCCTGGGGAACTCACAGTGGAGTCCCCCCAAAGCACCGATGATGCCCATCAGGGATCCCCTGGAGCCGAGGCATTGTCCCCACTCTCCCCGTGCTCCCCGAGGGTCAACGCGGAAGGATTTTCCTCTAAGAACTTTGCCACCTCAGCATCAGCCAGGGTTGGACGTTCCCGGGCGCCCCCTGTAGCCAGCAGCAGCCGCTACAGTGTCCGCTGCCGGCTGTACAACACGCCCATGCAGGCCATCTCCGAGGGAGAGACGGAAAACTCCGATGGGAGCCCGCATGACGACCGCTCCTCCCAGAGCTCCACATAGGGCGCCTATGTCAGGCTGCCCCCAAACGCCCAAATCCTTAGTTCCGAGGGGATGTGGGGATGCTACAGAGGACTCCGGACAAGTAACAGGACTGGGGAGCATCACTGCTTAGCAACGGATTTCTAAATACATGCTGGGGAAACAAAAAGTGGTTTAGTCATTCTTGATTCGTTCCATGTTTTGAGTAACTGCACTGTCTTTTCATGGTTTTTCTTTAGCTTAGTTTTATTTACCCAACCTCATTCACCGTGATAATAAAGCATATAAAAATATCTAATTTTCATGAAACCTACACAAGGTTTTTCCCAGAGCTGCCTATTCAAAAAAAATAAAGCCCTCACTGTCATGATTCTTTAAGAAGATGAAATTACTCTGGAGGTTTGGTATTTTTTTACATTAAAATGAACAAAAGCAAAATTTAGAAGAAAGAAGTACACATATGTAAATACCATATTTTTGATAAAAATGTGTAAATAGGTTTATCAATGATGAGTGGACATGTGGCCAATTATCTACCGCACACCAACTGTTTGTAGAACACACAAAATAAAGTGTAATAACTGTATTCTGTGAATACCATTTTCATATCAATACCATATTTAAATGTCCACCGATAATTTCTGAGTGATGAAAACCTCAAATATGAATTTAAAACTGGTGAAATAAAGGAAACCTTGAGGTCATATACTGAAATGTGATTAATCTAAGATAAAGAATTCAGACCTAATCATTTTTATGACAAATTACAGCATAAACAAGCTAATAGCAACCTGTAGCTGTGATTTGCCATGTGGTAATTTGGACAGAATGAAAAGCATGCTTTTGACTTTTTTTTAGTCAACATGAGAGAAGTCATCATTCTCAACACAAGGCCCTGAAAAAACAGCATTTGACAGTGAGTGTCCTTTAGACTTTAATTTTTTCAATGGATTGCTTTAAAGAGAATGAGTAGGGAAACCAGTAGTTAATTTTAGGTTATGTTTTATATTAGGCTACTGGGGACATAAAAGGTCATAATCCAATGACTATAATCTTTAAAATCCTTCAACAGTTTAGCAATTAGCTCCAGGTTCTTAAACTAACAAAAATAAAATGTAAGCATGCCACAGAGCTATTGATTTATCAGTAAGTACCTGCAATGAGTTTTCAGTGAAGCTTTCTCTCTGTGCTGATGAGATTCATGCTACCTAAAAATTAACAGAAGTGACACTGTGAACAATGTAGTTGGGAAATAGGTATGTGTATATGCATTATTTATATTCACTGTTAAACTGGGAATGGGGAACAGCTCTGGTTCACAATGCTACATACAACTGAGTTTTTGTCTGGTTTTACTATATCTGCTTGATGGCAAAGGGGGGGGCGGGTGGCGGGTGGGAAAGGAACTGTCAGGGCAAGTGCTCTGATAAAATGAAGGCAGGGAAACAAGCTGAATTACTTGAAATTACTTGAATTTTCTTGTCTTAAAACTGAAAAAAAATGTAGTTACAAGTTGAAATCTGCAAGTGGTTTTTACACCTCTGACTTTCACGTGAACTGATACTAATATTTGGAATCGTGTCAGAAATATAAGCAGCTATGTACTTAGAATAGGTTTTGAATGGGAGAGGTAGAAAGTAGAGAGAACTAAGAAGGGATATGGCCTATAAAAGACTAGAATGTGAGTAGAATGATAGACTACACCAGGGTTACCAAGAAATTGATATGCAGCTGGCTTTAAGCCCATGCAAGTGGTATTTGGAAAAGTAGGATGTGTGGAAAGGGGTTTGTGGTTTGGGATTAACTCAATGCAAAATGAAGGAGAAAGCCTGGTCTAAGAAGATACTGTCTTTCAATAGAAATGTGTTTTAAGATGTTACAGATTAAGAATTAGAGAATCTGATTGCTGTTGGTGTTTTGTTTGTTTGGAAAGAAAAAAAAATGTTTGGCTTCTACTATTTGTTTGTACTACCAAATTGTGTTACTTAATTTCTTGTCATTCTTGTATGTAAAAATGGGTGCTGGGGGTGGAGGGGTAGAGGAGGAGATTGAGAGGGGGTAGAGAGAGTGTGACAGGGAGAGAGAGAGTGAGAGAATGTGTGTGGGTGTGTATGTGTGAACATGTGTACTGGGGATAGATAAGCTACCTGGTAAAGGGTTGAACATTTGCAAAGTGTTATACTTTTTATTAAAAGAAAAATGTTTTGGGGTTTGAAAAAAAATGGACCATCATTTCTCATTGGAACACACTAATTAAGACAACCAGCATGGTTTGACACCACATGGGAACATGAACAAATCTGTCTCATGCTTCGAAAAGTACACTTGGCAAAATTTTAAAAATAAAGTTTTTAGACAAATGTGATAAGAAACCATTATTTCCAGTCACAATGGTGATCTTTTATAATTCTCATAAAAGCAGTTCGTTTGCAGTATGGCTTTTGCATAGTTAGGGGTTTTTTAAGAGTAAAGAAAGAGGTATGTGGGCTTTAAAAGTGATTCTAAATCTTGAAAACATGGATTGGCTTTAATAAAAATGTCACCTTTTTATTATTGACATTAATTTAAGTAATGGTACCATATATATTTTAAAATACATATTGACTTGAATTGTAAGGCAATAAGATACCTTCTATATGATCACAGAACTAACCCTTATAAATATAGTTTTACTTATTTTGTTTACTCTAAAAATCTATAGCAGAGTTTCTCTATTTTATATTTCATAGATTTAAGAAAAACCCAAATAAAGATGGATTTTAAATTCACTGTGGAAAAGAGTATTGAGTAACTGAGTAAAAAAGCAAGAAATTCCTTAAGCATCTGGAATATTCTACATGGATTTGTTATGTAACAAACAAAACCAAGATTTAGGGCTGTCTTTAACATCACTGCTGGCTTGAAGCAGGTTACACACATTAGGTATTGTAAAGAACATCAACCTGAACTTTTCTTCTGTTGTTTGCACTGATGCTGATTTTTTTTTATGTTTATACAACAGGTCTATGTTGTGTAGGGGAGATTTTTTTTCTTTTTCCCCCACTTTTGATTTTGCTTTGATTTTGTTGTTGTTTTGTTTTGTTTTTGGCTAAGTAGAGGACATGGACTAGTTGTATAGCAAACAAAACATGCTGTTTGCTCTTGCCAAAGGTCAGTGAGTGGGTACATTTGCTGCAGTGGTGGCACTTAAGAACTAGATCCTGACAAAGATTTAAAATTATGAAGAAGGTTACAGTGTAACTATTTTGGTACTAGAACCAGTTCATGCTGGCCGAAAAGACAATGGTTTATGGACTTGCATCCATTTTGTATTTTTGTAATATTTGTAAATATAAACTTTTTAAATTGTTGCAAAGATGGTTTCTTTTGTAAAATGTTTTCAACGTTTACATTCAATCCAAGCCTTTGTATATTTTAGAGCTGTGCAACACTTTAAGTCTTGTATTTATTTTTAGTAAAAACGGTGACAGTTTCATTGTGAACCCCTCTCAAAAAATGTATCAGAAAAGTTTGATTACCTAGAAAGTGTGTATAGAAACTGCAAATAAACGTGACTGCAATTAAACAACTTGTTTCTCTTCATGTTATAAAATTATACTCTTGGGTTTTACAAACAAAAAGTGGACATAAAGGAGGGATTTATCATGGCAAAAGTTGAAGCAAAAAAATCTATAGTGGGCATTAAACTAGTTTCACGTTACATTTCCAACATTCAAGCTGTTTTCCTTGTAGTTCCTTTCTGGGCCAGGAAAAGAGCTGTGACTTTACTTTGAAACAACTGCCTGTTTTGCTTTTGATAAATTACTCAGACTGTTCCTCCTTCCCAAGATGAGCATCCTTGATGCACGGAAGGCAATATGTCGCTAGGTAATGTGACGTACCCTTATTACATAGCATAGTTCTATGCCAAGTACTGTTCTAAGTGTTTCTCATATACTAAGTCCTGTTCCCCCTTCGTATGTCCACTTTACAGAGAGGGAAACTGAACACAGGGCGGTTACTTGGCTTGCCCAAACCACAGAGCAACTCTGAGTGTTGACGCTGGGGTCCAAACAGCAAATATCGCTTCAGGACCTGTGTTAGTTCTCTACTCCAGTGTTTGTGGGAGACTGGAATTGACTTTTCCCAAGTTCCTACCAATCTTAGCCCTTAGCAAAGGCTCATTCCCTCTACCCAAATTGAAGCACTGACATGAACTCTTGGAATTCAGTCAACGTGGATGACGCTGGGGAGTGGGAAGTGATGGGATTATATGTAAACAACATCAGGCTTCGAATGACCAAACAATGAAAGTGGGGAAGCCAAGCATCTAATGACCCTCAACCTCGTCAGCCTCCCGCTAGAACGGCTGTACCGCGGGAAAAGTTGCGCGTGCGCGTTGGACCTCCCGCGCAGCCGCAGAAACCTCTCCCCGCATAGCTTCTTTCCAATCGTAGTCGCTTCAGCGAAAGAAAATCTGGGATCAGGTACCCAGCTACCACCGTTAGAAGGCCAGCGCCCCCCGTCTCTCGGGCAGCAAGGCTCCGCCCCTCCGAAGTTTCCCTAGCAACACTGTCCTCCTCTACGGCAGTTCAGGCGCCCGTGGGATTGGCAGGTCAAAGGCCAGGGGGTGTCATGGGCGACCGCCGATTGGTTCTCGGTACTGGTCCCGCCCCCATTCACGCACGTGGAAACACCTTCGCCGTGGGCGCTGGCTGGTTCATTCCAGTGTCAAATGCATCCCTGTGGTTCGCGACAGGTGTGCGCCACAGGGGTCAAACCTGGTTTCCGGCGCAAGGACCGTTCCAAATTCTGTAGTGGCCATAACCGTCGTCCACCGGGAAGGTGGAGGTTGGGCCACCGCCGGCGGGTTTTCCGCTCCGTGGGGAGGCTGGTTTGGCGGATTCGGGACCTGAACAGGTCTAAATATATTTTTCCTTCTCTTTAACTTTCTTTTTCTTGGGTGTCAGGAGAGTACAACCGTTAAGCGACTTGGCTTAGTGGCTGGGACTCTTGGGGGGAAGAGGATTGGCTTTTCGGGTAAAGAAAGTCTGCACTTCACTGCCCCAAATTTCAACGAAGCGCGCGGGCGGCGGCGGGGGGTGTTTGGGTGTTTTCCTGGGCCTCTTCCGGGGCCACTGGCGCGTGTGAACTTCTGAGATTTGATAACTTAAAGTGCTGGTGCCGACTTTCTAGGACAAGTTGCTTCTCTTTGCAACCTTTCTGTTACTTGGCGGAGGCGGATGGGGAATGAGGAAAGACTCAGACTCTCACTCAGACTTTTTTTACTTTAAAGAATTGGCAAACTCGCGAGTTGATTCGGTAGCCTATTTTGAGATGTAGATTTTTGCGGTGTAGATTTTGAGGCTTTGGAGATAACTGCATTTGGTCAAAGACCGTTCCGCCTCACTGTTTTATTGTAAATACCTAAATGATCAAGAAAATAAAGATGCGGGGGAGACGCGTGTTGATCCTTTTCTTTGCTGTTAGAGGGCGGGTGCTGGAGCCAGGAAAAATGTGGGGATTCCGGGGAAGCGGGAGAACTTTCCATACCTGCAATGTGGTCCTTTGAGAGACTAGGGTCTTAATCTGTTGGAAATCGCTTGCCTCCTTCCTCTGCCGCCTCCAAGTTTGGAATGCTCTGGGTTTTATAACATGAAGTGGTAAAAACGGTTTAATGTTTACAAATAGCAACTTCTCCGCGGGGTATTTTATAAAGCAAGACGTGGGCTAGGTGCAGTTTCAAGCATTTGTCTGGCTCGCAGCAAGTGCTGGGCGACGCGGTATATTTTGGCTGCCTTATCCCCATTTGGCGGATTTTGTAGCTTCTAAAGTTGGATATGGACAATGGAAGGGCTACTTTTTCAGAGTGTTACCGGAAATTTTAGCAAGCGATCGGTTGGTGTGTTTACATAAGGTTTTGTTGTAATTAAATATATACGTATATTGGAGCGGTCTGCCCTGTATTTGTTGAAGAGTTCCTGGGGTGAAATGTCGTTTCAGCCTCATCATTGTGAACTATGCTTGTATGGGATAAATTGATGGCAAGTAAATGCCTTGCGCGGCGGAGTGAACCTTTACATAACTTTAAAAATAGTTTTTAACGTGTATTTAATGTCTACAAAAAGTTTTTTAGTGTCTTAAAAAAACAGATGTCTTCTTGTTCTTATGTTGTTGGGATTTTAGGTTTTTAACATGAAATATAAATGGGTTTCATTTTAGGTGAACCCATTTTTTGCAGGATTTTGAATTTAAAGAATGAAATAAATTGTGCTTGATGTAGTAGTGGTGGATCTCTAAGAAAATGTTGTAGAAGCTGTGCTCGTGTGCCTTTCGGGAACACGTCAAAGGGAATTAAAATTTATGGTGTACCTGTGATGAAACGGGCATGATGCTGAGTGTTACACAGCCCAGTGAAGGACATATTATTCCAATTTTACCGGTTAGAAAATTGGGGCACTGAGAAAAGTTATATATCTGTTTAAAGAGAAATTGCAAATTTTGCAGTTCGAATTTGGATTCAAGTGTTGCTGTCTAAAGCCCAGTTCTTTGCATCATGCCCTGGGCACTGTAAATAAAAATGTAACAGTTCTTTTGCAAGAAAGAGCAATTTGAATTTGAATTTAAATGTTTCTGACAAACCCCAGTTCTTTGCATCATGCCTGGCGCTTAAAAGATGTAACATTTCTTTTTCAAAAAAGAGTTGTTATGTCTACAGTGTACAGGTACAATGTGAATGTAAATTGCATGTTATGACCCTGAAGGTTCATTATCTATGTGCTTCATGACTAATAGCTATGTTGGGTAGATGTGTCAAATATTCAAATAAGCAAATAAAAGCCAACAGGCATTGTTCTAAGCATATGCTGTGTATTAATTTGTTTCATCCTCATAAGTATGAGGTTTGTACTGTTATATCCATTATACAGACTTAAAAATGGAAACAGAATTTAAGTTTTCTAAAGTCATACAGCTAGTAAGTGGAGGAGGTGAGATCCATACCCAGGTATTCTGGCCACAAGCCTAAAGTCTTAATGCTATTTGATGCTTCCTCTCATGTAACTAGACAGGAGCTACAGTTGCCTTAACCCATTAAGTCCCAAATTTTCAGTTCTGTGAATATTTCAATATAATTAACACAAGTGTATTAAAATAGATTGGGAACCATAGGGTGTACATAGTACTACATTAATTACTATTACAATTATATTCTTATTGCATATTATATGCTGTATTTAAATTTTATAGGTGTTCCACATCTGAAACAATGGGACAAAATGGGTTAAAGTATAAGCATTCTTGTGGTCAGGAAAACAGTGTCACCTCCAGATGGAGTCATTGTTGACATAGCATCTTTGCTTTTGGGAAGTGGAACTTGAATTAAGCCTTGAAGTTGAATAGATTCTCCTAGGTGGAGAGACAGCAGGGTATTGTGGGCAGGGAGCATGATAGGAGCCAGAGGCTCAAATAATACAAAGTCAGTGTTGATTTGTAAATGTGCCACAGAAGTAAAAATGTCAAGAGCCCTGGGTCAGGCTCAGTGCTATCTGTGGCCATATTTGGCAGCATTGTAATTAATGCAAGTGGGGAATTGTTTGAATGCAAGAGCCTATAATAGTAGTAGGCCTGCTTTGGCTGCAGAAGGCCAGGTTTTAAATATTTTAAGCTTAGAACAAGGGGGCAAATGGTAAGAGGTGACCTGACAGGTAGTCAGGGTCCAAATTATGTAAGGACCTTGTAGGGAGGCACTGGAGGAGCTTGGATTTTATTGTATATTGTTATGGATGGGATTCCAGGTGGCTTTACTAATAGAGAAGAAAAGGAGCTTGGATTTTATTGTGTATTGTTATGGATGGGATTCCAGGTGGCTTTACTAATAGAGAAGAAAAGGAGCTTGGATTTTATTGTGTATTGTTATGGATGGGATTCCAGGTGGTTTTACTAATAGAGAAGAAAAGGAGCTCGAGTGTGGAGGCAGGCTGCAACCCTTACTAGCTGTGAGACTTAGGTGAATTACAGTTCTTTCCCTCAGTTTTCTCATAAGGAAAATGGTGATCACAATAAAACCTACCCCATACAATTGTCAGTAGATTAACAAGATAGACTACCTAACCAAGAAAAAAAGAAAATCCAAATTAAGTTAGAAATAATTAATGATTTTAAATTGTGATTTTATTAACAATTCTGAAATTATGATCAAATTATCATCCTCTGGATAAAAGCAATTTGTCAAAGAAAAAGTAGAATAATTTGAGTGGATCAGTAATCATGGAAGAACTTAGAAAATGTTATAAAGTCTGGCACAGAGTTTCTTTAAACTCTTTCAAGCCTTTAAGGCACACCTTTCTGGTGTGATGTAAACTTTTTCAGAGTGTAGAAAGAAATGGAAGGCTTCCCAATTAATTTTGCAGAGCACTTTTGATACCAGGAGTTAATAATATACCAGTATGGGTTCATTAATTGTGAGAAATGTACCTCTTACTAATGTAAGAGCTTGGACATGCAGTTTCTAAATAAAATACCAACAAATTGAATGCTATTTTCCATGATCAGCTGTATCCCTCACCCAAAGCATATTAAGAAATGTATTAATATGCTACATTAGTAGATGAAAGGAGAAAAAGCCATTGATGCCAAAAAGTTTCTTGGTTGAATTAAGCCTTGAAGTTGGATAGATTCTCCTGATGCCAAAAAGTTTCTTGGTTTAAATTTTCAAATGTGGATACTATTGATATTTCTTTGACCCACTGGTTCTACTTCTAGGGATTTATTACATAGAACTACTTGCACCAGCGCAAGACTGTTCTGCAGTGTTCCATGTAAGAGCAAATCTTTAGAAGTAACTTGAATATCCATGAACTGGGGACTGGTTAAATAAATCATGACATATTTACCAGATAGCACACTAAGATGTTAAAGTGACTGTGATGTATCTTAAGGTATTGGTTTGGAGTGACTTCTCCCGGTTTGGAGTGACTTTTGCTGTTTTTTTGAGCTTTCTATTAATTGAAACATATACTGTGTTCTCTTGCATTGTCTTCTACTCAAGGTTATGGTTGTAAAGTTCATCATTGCTGAGAGCAATGGTAGTTGGTTTATTCTCATTGCTGTGAATACATCAAAGTTTCATAACTTTAATTATTCAGAGCTTAAGTTTGTTTTCTAGTTAGAAAAAAACAGTTTTAAAAAAAATAAAATTTGATGGCAGTTACATCTCAAATTGGATGTGTTTTATAACTTGGAATTTTTACACAACATTAGTCCAACCTGGGATTTCTAACCTGGGATTCATTCTCCCGTCTTCTTCATCTCCTTTTGGTTTCTCTCCTTTGGGTCTTTGGTCATTAGTGTCACCACAGTAAAGGGAAGAGGAAACAGGAAGGAGATGAAATCTGAATCTCTTAATTGTCTTCTCATTGCTGCTGTGGCTAAGGATGGTTTAAAGTAAATTAGCTTTTTTATTAATGTACCCCTCCCAGGAGCTGTGATGCTGGTGCTCAAATAGAATTTCTAGTACATAATCAGTGTTATTGTGGTCAGTGTCTTGTTTAGTCTGGAATTCTAGACTTTTGGCTGTATTTGACATCCATTTACTTAGGTTTAATCATAATTTTAGAGGTAAAGATTTCTTTAGAGCCGCTCTGAACAGGTTTGCACCTGCTGGTGAGGAGGCAGTGTCTGTAGGGGTCTCTCTCCTCCACACGGTGGCAGTGGTGGGGCCCAATCCAGAGCTGACTCCTGGTGCTCCTTTTAGAGGCATGCTGCCTCTCTAGGTCAAGAGCCCTTTTGATGGGCTGGGGATATAGCTCAGTGGGTAGCTTGCAGGCACAAGGCCCTGGGGGTTTGATCAAAAAAAAAAAAAAAAAAAGGCCTTTTGAACTCCTTTACAAAAGCTGTTAGCAGTCGTGTTCTATTGTTCGCTTGTTCCCAGTACTCTGGGGACTTTAAGTTGTTAAGCAATTTGGAATTGATTTTTTTTTTTTTGGATCGGGGGAGGTTCCAGAGATTGAACTCAGGGGTATTCAACCACTGAGCCACATCCGCAGCCCTATTTTGTATTTTATTTAGAGACAGGGTCTCACTGAGTTGCTTAGCAGCTCAATTTTTGCTGAGGCTGGCTTTGAACTCATGATCCTCCTGCCTGAGCCCTCCTGAGCCACTGGGATCACAGGCGTGTGCCACCGTGCCTGGCTTAACTTTGATTTTTATACCTAGTCCTGGGCAGTGTAGCCCTTTCTTGTTTTTTTTTGTTTTTGTTTTTTGTTTTTTGTGGGTTTTTAAAAAACTTCTTCAAATAGGTGAGTTGATTTTTGTTTCTTTTTGTTTTCCCACTTTTTTTTGGGGGGGGGGGGACACCAGGGATTGAACTCAGGGACACTCGACCACTGAGCCACATCCCCAGCCCTATTTTGTATTTTCTTTAGAGACAGGGTCTCACTGAGTTGCTTAGCACCTTGCTTTTGCTGAGGCTGGGCTTTGAACTGGCGATCCTCCTGCCTCTGCCTCCTGAGCCCCTGGGATTACTGGCATGCGCCACTGTGTTGGCCCCAGCCCTTTCATTTTTAAAGATTTATTCTAAGTTGCTATGGAAGAATTGTTTTGTTGCTCTTTAAAATTCAAACAAAACTTAAGTTTGAAGTGCTATTCTCAGAACATATCCACATTAAAGTTATTTAGGTAGTAAATGTATAAAGTAACTTTTTTATGCATTGCTTTTCAGGAGTAGGAGGTTTACCAGTCTTAGGTGACTAAGCAGTTTCACAAATAAACCCTTCAGCAAGTTTAAAATTAATTAGGCTCAACTCGCTGGAAGTGGACCATCTGCTGATACACAGAAATGATGTCTAATTTTTCCAGTGAGATGGATGTGGTTTGTATTCAGATTGAAATGTCTTTATTCCTTTTGTTGTGCTGTCATTGTTTTCTAAATTCAGTTTAATTTCATATAGTGTTATGCATAGATCCTAAGTAAATTTTTCGCCATGAATTTTGACTGATATGATAATACTTCTTGTGAACATTGGTGTGCAAGTTTCTTTGTGAGCTTCCACTCCATTTCTTCTGGGTAAATACCCAGAAGTTGAATTGCAAGGTTATAGAGTTGATGTAAATTTAACTTTATGAGACTCTGCCAAACAGTTTTTCAAGGTGATTGTGCTAATTTTGCAGTTCTAGTACATTCTGCTGTTTCTTAATTCTTACAAATTGAACCAAAATATATTAAAGCATACATAATGAGGCCTAACAGAAAACACATTTATTTAGTCACATAAGAAAATGACTATTAATGCCATCTAAGTAATCTGTGTGACTCTTAACTTGCATTAGCCCTAATGTTTTTCACATTTGGAAATAATATTAAATATCCAGCAAGAGTCATTTTTAACAAAATTATGTGAAAACATTTTGAAAAGCATAAGGCACTATACAAGAGATAGAATATTTTATAGGTCATAGTCTATACCCCAATTCCATATTATTTTGGTTACCTATCAGTGCAAGGAGAATCCAGATAATATGTATGATATATTTTGAAACAAAGACATACATAGCTACCATGTGTGTTTATTTTAAAATTATTCCTAGAGTTCATGACTTATTCTTGGAATAAATACTTATACCAAAACGTAGTAGTTATTTACACTCCCTTACTTATTTTTACCTTGTCTTATTCCAAGAATGTTTTAAGGTAATTTAGAGATTCATTTATCAAGAAAAAGTGAGTGCCTGAGTGTGTTCTGTTTTGTCCACAGAGTGGCACTATTGGACTATTTAAAAATCAGGTTATCAGAAGCCGTGGAACATTTTATCTTTTGTTCATGGTTTAAAATGTTTGCTTTTAAAGCAGTTTTAGTGCAGAAGACTAGTCTTCCCACCCTGAAGCACAAAAGGGGTTCAGCTCTCTGGAGATGGTGCAGTAGTGTAGTGGGGTTAATGAGAACACAGTTCTGCAAGTACATCTTTTTGTGTAGTCAGTGTTTACAGTAGGCATAGGTCCTTTGATATCAGTAATAGGCTTTTGAAGCTTCTTAAAAATGAAGTTAAAGTTCCCAACATCTCTTTTAGTTTTGTATTTTATCTTTCCTGTTAAGTTATTTAATAATCTTCCTCAGATCAAAACACGAATACCAATTTACAAAGAGGAAGATGATGATGATGATAACAACACTGTTCTTTACGCATATGAGCCAAACACTACATTTTTCAATAATGTAAGTAATATTAATTGCTAGTTGACAAGTAAGTTAAAATTTGCCATTTGAAAGAAAAAGATTTCAATTCTTTTTTTGGGGGGGTACCAATAATTGAACTTGGGCACTCGACCAATGAGCCACATCCCCAGCCTTATTTTGTATTTTATTTAGAGACAGGATCTCACTGAGTTGCTTAGCACCTTGCTTTTGCTGAGGCTGGCTTTGAACTCATGATCCTCCTGCCTCAGCCTCCAGAGCCATTGGGATTACAGGCATGTGCCACCGCACGCAGCTCAATTCTTTATGTACTATGGAAGTCCTTTAAACTCCCACTCAAGGAACTGTTTCTCTGCTGAATTTGTATGCTTTCTTTCATTAGACAATAAGCTCTTAACCATTTTGCTTCTCCCTTGTCCTAGGAAATTCAGAGCAGTTTCGTACTGGTAATCCAAACCTAGTTTCTTCCGATAAATTCTTTCCCTGGCACCCCCCCCTGTTCCTTTTTTCCTTTGGATGTACTGTTTTCTTGTGCTGAGATAAAAAAAGAGACAGCAATGTAAGAATTTTTCTACATTGGTGAAAATTCCCACAAACACCCACAAATCTCATTTTTTGAGGGGAATTGGGGACTCAGCTCAGAACAGGGTGAGTCTTCGGACTCTTTTAAAAGAGACAGGGAAAGCACACTTTGTTCTTGTTGTTGTTGCTGCTGTAGATGGACATAGTAACTATTTATTTATATGTGGTGCTGAGGATGGAACCCAGTGCCTCACATGTGATAGGCAAGCACTCTACCACTGAGCCACAACCCCAGCCCCTGTGATCCCTTTCTTAATGGGCAGTTATCATTTCCATTATCAGAATAATGTGAATTTTTGTCTCTGCTTTAAATTGTCTTTTGAAAGGTTGATGGAAAATAAAAACAATATTAAAGAGTTAAATATCAAGTCCTTTTTCTCCCCTAGCATTCAGTGGGAGTCTTACTGAAACAAAGCATTAACTGCTTACTTTTAAAATATTATAGCAGGAAAATGTCCTATCGGACACATCCTACAATGATGAGGAGCAGAAAACCGTTTTGGATATCCTTACCCATTGTCAGGTACGAAGTTCTGTTCCTTCTGTGTGGTTTTTTTAAATGTTTTTTCTTATTTTTTAATTTTTAATTTCTTTATTCTTTTTAGGCATACATGACAGTAGAGTGTATTTTGACACAGTATACATACATGGAGTATAACTTCCCGTTCCTATCATTGTACATGATGTGGAGATACACTGGTCATGTATTTATATATGAACATAGGAGTGTTATGTCAGATTCATTCTACTGTGGTTTTCTAAAATGTTAAAGTTAAAATTCTCTATCTCATATAAAAAGAACCTGTACAATTATTTAAAATTTCGCCTTATTAAAGTATTTGATTACCACCCCATTTTGATGATTTTAAACAGTTTCTAGTTTGAATAGCATTTGCAGGTAAAACTTTTGAATCAACAATACTTGGATCTTAGGCGCTTTAAAATAAAACATTAATAACCATATGTAGTTGTGTCTCTTTCATCTAGTTTGCTCAGTATCGAATTAAGTTCCCTAAAAAATCTAGAGAACATTGACTGATTCGAGTGGAATTTAGTATGTGCCTCACTGCATATCAAGATATCTCCATTGAAACAAAACGGCAGCCTATAAGTGTTTTTAGGAGTACATCTTACATAGTTTTTTTTTAAATTTTTTAATTGTAGACAGACACAGTACCTTTATTTTATTTATTTATTTTTATGTGGTGCTGAGGATCAAACCCAGTGCCTCATAAGTGTGAGGCAAGCGCTCTGCCACTGAGCCACAACCCCAGCCCTAGTTTGTTTTTGTTTGGTTTAGTTTGGTTTGGTACCAGAGATTGAACCCAAGGGTGCTTAACCACATCCCCAACCCTTTTTTATATATTAGAGACAGGGGCTCACTGAGTTTCTTAAGGCCTAAGTTGCTGAGGCTGGGTTTGAACTCACTATCCTCCTGCCTCAGCCTCCCTTGTCCCTGGGATTACAGGCATGCACCACTGCGTCCAGCTCATTTTACATAGTTTTTTTTTTTAATCTTTATTTTATTTATTTACTTATTTTTATGTGGTGCTGAGGCTCGAACACAGCACCCCTCACTTGCTAGGCAAGCACTCTACAGCTGAGCCACAACCCCAGCCCAATCTTACATAGTTTTGAGATTTTTTTTTCCAGGTTAGCTTGTTGGTAGAGATTGATAGAAGTTTGTAATTATCAAGGGTTTTGTAAACTGCATACCCCAGAGGCAATGACAGTTTATGAAGAAAAAAATGTTCACCTATAAAGTTTCTTAAATAGAATGACTAGCATATTTTGAAAAGTAAAAGTCCGTGTGTGTCTTTCTCATTCTTACTAGTGCCCATAGGACCTAGAGCCTGGGATGGGCAGAGCTGTGCAGAGGTGCTGGAGAGGCAAGGAAGAGGGCTCTTGTCCCTTGCCTGAGCAGCCTCCTAGGCCTCTGCACTGCTCAACCAAGGTCTCTGAGTAGTTGTGCAAGCTGGGATGGGATATGGCATCTTAGATAAGAAGTGCCCAGGTCCCCAAGCTCTACCCCAAACAACACACAGGGGCATTTCTCTGAATGTGTGCCTTTTGCCATCCTCTGCCTCCTTCCTTACCATTCTCACCACCTGGTGCAGCCTTTACCCTTCTGTTTCCTTCCTCCCAGTTCCCTCCCCTGACTCCCACCCTTGCCAGGCACCTGCTGGGTTCCCAGCTCTAGGCCAGCAGACTGGGAGCCCTAGGCTGTCTCCTTCGAAGAGTCCTTTCCCTAGCCCCAGTACACTCTACTGTGAGAGTTCGCACCACACACTCTGCTGCCTCTTCTTTGCTGGAGACTGGAGAACCCAGGCAGCCATCTTTCTAGTCCTGATTTCTGTCCCCACAGCCAGCACACCTATTGGAGCTGAGCCATCCTTGTTCTGACTCCTCCTCCCCATAGGATAAGAACAGTGTCCTGTGCTGCCCAGGGCTGGTCCCTCCACTGGTTTCTGGCGGGCTCTCTTCCCTGTGCCGAGACCTCCCTGAGGGGGCATCTCTCCCTTCCTGTGTCTCCAGCCCTGTCTCTGTAACTCCCTCCCTCAGAATATCCTCCCACAGCTTTAAAACATCCCTCCTAGTTGCTGCCCTCAATCTCACCCTCCTTGACAACCCAGCTCCTTGGATATCTTTTATACTTGCTAGCTAAATGTCTAGCTTCCTGTTTTCTCTCTTTTGGGGTGTTTTTGAAGATGCTGTTTCTTCTGCCCTTTCTGCCCTTCCAATGTATCTTTACCTGGCTGCTGTTGTTTTTTACCTTTAAATTCTCAGCTCAGACATCACCTCCTCTGAAAATCCCCCCTGACTGCCAGCCCAGGTTCAGTGTTGCTCTTCTGGGCATGCTTAGCCTCCTGTTCATACCTGCGCCATGCTACTGGTGATAATAAAAACAATAAGAATGCCAATAGAGTACTGAAGGTTGTTGGACCTGTCATTGTGTACTTGTGTTATCATTGGTGTTAACACAATGCTTAGCAAAGTTCTTGTTTTCAGTAGAACCCCTAAGACATTTTCATCCCAAATTTTGTACATGAGGAAATTGAAGCACAGAGAGGTCAAGTAACCACAAAGCTAGTAAGTGTTAGAATTCTAGTATTAAAGTCAACTGTGTTCCCTAGAGCCTACACTGTTTGTCCCAGTGTACAGGTCAGTGGTTTCCCTACTTGAATATGTCTCAGGGTTACCTGGGGAGCTTGTAAAAAAAAAAGCCTGGTGCCCCTACTCAGATTTGTGATTTTGCATTTCTCACAAGTTTGCAGGTGATGTTGATGCTGCTGGTCCAGGGACCACATTTTGAGAACTGCTATTCCAGGCTCTATTAAAATTGTCTCTTTACTTCTCTCCATAGCTGAGATGGGAGTTCCCTCAAGACAGGAGTTTTTGGGGTTTTGTTTGTATTTTTAATGTCTTAGCACCTGGTGAAGTGGTTCCTATAGGTGGAAGGCCCTTTGTAATTTTTTTTTTTTTTTTTTTGCCCCAGGGATTGAACCCAGGGGTGCTTTACCACTGGGCTACATCCCCAGCTCTTTTTATTTTTTACTTTGAGATAGAGCCTTACTAAGTTGCCTAGGGCCTCACTTCAGTTGCTGAGGCTGACTTTGACCTTGCAATCCTCCTGCCTCAGCCTCCTGAGTCACTGTGATTACATGCATGCACCATGTACCTGGCTTTAGTAAATGTTTATTTGATTGAATGAAGAAATGTTTCTGGTCTTTTAAATAAAAGTGTGGTTTTGCCTGAAATTTCTGTGTATTTCAAGAATCTCAGATTTGTATCATTCACATACTAATGGGCACATATGGGGACATGTACTCAGTGGTTTTATAAGGTTAATTGTTGACTGCATGATTTTAAAATACTTTGAAGCCAAAAGTCACATCTGTTGGATTTGGCTCTGTATAGAGTGTGGAATACTTGCTGTCTTTTAGTTCTTGTATAGAAGGTGACTCTTTGGCCTTTTAGCAGATTTGAACACTTCTTTCCTAAAAATAGCACCTTCCTTGATGTGAAATGGTGGCATCCTTTCAATGTCCATGTGGCTTCGAGTAGTGTAGAAACAGTCGAGGCTCCTTGACTGAGCCAAGAGGGTTCTGTGTCACCAACAGGCCTCAAGTCAGAACAGACATGTGTTTCACTGTGCCTAGCAGTTTGAACTTGGCTTCATGGCATTTTCACACATTTTACTTTGCTTTTGAAATAGAAACTATAATACATTTTCTTTTAATAGGTTATATATGATGCTGTCCAAAACCTGGATAAGAAATTTGATGTCATTAATGGAAAGTTGTCAAAAATCCAACGTCTGCGTAAAAAATCCTTTCGGAACTATCGCGTAAGTATTCTATAACTGTGATAAATGTAAAGCTGCCAGTCAGTTAGAAGGGCTAGAGAACTAGTAGCTGTGTGAGATTAGCAAGGCTGGTCTGTACTTGTTGTAGGAGCAGATGGGGAACTGAAATTCTATAGGAAAAATGCTGGTGTCATGACAGTAAGTTCAATAAATGTATAGTAGTGAGTATTTGTATGTTTGTACCCATAATATATAAACACAATTAAAGGGCTGAAGGTGTAGCTCAGTGGTAGAGTGCTTGCCTTGCATGAATGAGGCACTGGGTTCAATCCTCAGCACAGGAAGAAAGTCTGTGAGACACAATTAAAATGTAGGCCAGAAGAGGAATAAAATTTAATCATATAATCAAGAGAGCATTTATTTTAGTAGTGTAAAATAGTTTTTATGTAAAATAAATATTAATATATTAACTACTTATTTTTTCTTTCTTTCTTTTTTATACTGGGAATTGAACCCAAGGGTGCTGTACCACGGTGCTACATTGCCAGTCCATTTTATTTTTTACTTGGAGACAGTGTCTAGCTAAGTTGTTTAGGGCTTCGCTAAGTTGCTGAGTCTGGCCTCTTATATGCGATCTTCCTGCCTCAGTCTTCCGAGTCACTGGGATTACAGGCATGTGCCACCACGCTGACCTTATTTCTCTTTTTATTCACTGTTGATTATTATTGGGCTTGTGTCATTTCAGAAGCCACTTGGATTTGTTTACAAAAATCATAATCACCTGCTTTCTAAAAAAGTTAAAGTCCAAAAAGCAAAAAAGAAGGAACGTCTCAATTCATTCTCCTATCCTGAAAGTTACAGCCCGACTTTACCAGTTCGCAGACCAGAAAATGATGACAGCAACATTGTGATCTCATCTTTTCAATCTGAGGAATCCCAGGAGATGGAGCAGGAGTCCCTGATCAGGGATCAGGAGTCATCCCTCAGAGATAGCCCACCGATCCCACCACTCTTCTCTGGGCGTTCATTCCAGACCTACCTCAGAAATGATGACAACACACATGGTCCTTCTATAGTGTCCTGCTTTGCCAGCCCTGGGGCTTGCAGCACCAGCAGCATCTCTTCTGCTGGAGTTTCCATAACAGTATCCTTAAATGGAGCCTCCATGCCAGTATCTACAAATGCACTGGCCCAAGGAGAGTCCAATGCTGATACGAAGAATTACCCGGGCTTGCTGGATAATACACATGCTCTGTCATCTCACCACATGTCATCTGGTTTGGGTGAGTTTGGAATGACACATGTACAAATATTACTATTTAACCTGTCTTCTTCAACATCCTCCATATGAGCTAGTGGAAGCTGTTTCCTATTTTGAGAGCTGGTGATGGTATTAAGGGTGACTATTATTCACTGAATATGTATTATGAGCAAGGCACTGTGTTAAGCAACTAATCACTGATATCCTTAATGACCCCATTGTGAAGTAGTTTTTTTGAGGCGGGTGGGAAGGGTGTACCTGGGATTAAACTCAGGGGCACTTGACCACTGAGCCACATCTCCAGCCTTATTTTGTATTTTATTTACAGACAGTCTCACTGAGTTGCATAGTGCCTCACTTTATTTTGCTAATGCTGGCTTTGAACTCCACGATTTTCCTGCCTCAGCCTCCTGAGCTGCTGGGATTATAGGCGTGCGCCACCGCACTCAGCCCATTGTGAAGTTTTTAATATTGTTATTTTTATCCCTTTCCCTGGATGAATAACTCAAAATACTCCTAGAATGACCAGAGAGCAGATGATAGGAAAGAAAGGACATGCCTTTGGCTAATCCACACCCCAGAAGATCAAATTTGTTTTGAGTCCTCTTGGCTCTTGCAAATGAGAAAACCCTCTTCACTTATCACACACACTCTTTAGGGAGTCGAGTGCTTTGCTTGAGTGAATGAATACTTGTCAGGACACAAAGAAATGTCAACACAATTTAGTGAACAGCACAGCTAAAACATGCTGAGGTGTGAGTACCTAAATTGTTTCATGTCTCAGTTATTTCTTTATTAAACAAGTAAACCTTCAACTAATACATCTATTGCTATGCAATTAAACATGAAAGAAGAATCAAATAAAATGTTAAAGTTACTTCTGACTTAGCTCAGCAGAAAATAATCCTGTTAAAATTCAGATTAAGGGCTGGGGGTATAGCTCAGTTGGTAGAGTGCTTGCCTCACATGCATAAGCCCTGGGTTCAATTCCCAGCACCCCCCCCAAAAAAAATCAAATTAATGTTTAAGCCACAAGAGACAGGAATCCATAAAGAATTAAAGTGATGCTAAAAATATCCATATTGAAACTATGGGAGAGATTTGGTGAAAGAACTAATTTGGTCCTCCAAGATAATGGGGTTGTTGAAATTCCTTGATTAAAGTGAACAAGTTTAAGCAACTATAAAATGGTAAATTTGGGGAGTTTCCATTGTATTTAGTAAAATAAACCTGATTTAGAGAGATTGAGAGAAATTCATTGAAACACTTAAGAATGTAATGGGTTAGGTTAGATTTACCTAATTTAATCCACGTAGTGGATCTTTTGCTGTATGGCCCAAGAGGCCTTGAATTGCTTGGTCTGTTTTATAATTTTTAAAGCTTTAAGGGAACTTCTGAAGCTGTTTCCGTTTGGGGGAGGTCAGATGGGGTGCTCTTATGCAGCTGTCTTGATCATCTTTAATGTAGGCTTTTACTAATTTTACAGTTAGAGTCTTGAGTCCTTGCTTGGGTATGTAAGTGAAGGTTCCAGAAATTAGACCATTACTCCCTACCTAACTTCTCTTTCAGGATAATGATCAGGTCAAGTGATTTGTGTGTTTTTTTCCCTCATTGTGAAGCTACAAGTTCACCAGTTCAATCTGAATCCATTGTGATGAACCAAGACTACCCGGAGAATCCTTTAACCTGGTCTGTGGGTGATGTGATCCTGTTTCTGAACCATACGGATCCTCAGATGTCAGGCCCCCTCTCTGGCCTCATTGAGCAACATGTAATGTATCTTTTCAGGGGGAGGGTTACTGGGGATTGAACTTGGGGGCACTCAACCACTGAGCCACATCCCCAGCCCTATTTTGTATTTTCTTTAGAGACAGGGTCTCACTCAGTTGCTTAACACCTTGCTGTTGCTGAGGCTGGCTTTGAACTCTAGATCCTCCTGCCTCAGGCTCCCAAGCGCAGCCACTGGGAGTATAGGCGCTCGCCACTACAACTAGCCTGTAATGTATCTTTTGATCTCTGGGCAGGCCTTTCAGTTAGATACTGAGTTGTGTGGATGGTGGGGGAACCCTATCAATCAACTGAGTTTGCCATTTAAGAGAAAGGTTATTTTGCCCAACATTATATCCTTAAATGGTAGGTTAATGGTCTTTCTTTAAATGGGTATCCAAGTGCATAATATTCTAAACAGCCTCACATTCTCAAGAGGATGATTCTGCATTGCCACTTTCAGGTGGACCGCCCTTTTGTAAAGACAGATACAAGGATCCTCCCCACCCCTCAACCTGTTCCCTGCTCAGCCCTAGGACCATGAGTAGGAGAGGGCAACTACAATCTGTAACAGGGTGGCCTTTTTACTATGATACCCAATATATCCAGCAACTAATTCCAATCAATTCAATTCTGTTAACCTTATATGGTTTGTGACTTCTTATGATGCTGATGCCCTCAGGCTGTACCAGACCCTTTAAAAAGCAACACCCTGGGCTAAATTTTAAGTTATAATTTCTTCCATTTCTAGTTTTACTTAGTAGAAAATGTACAGAAGATGCCTGGCAAAGATGGTACTATAAGGGATTTCAGGTCTTTTCAGACAGTGATACTTGATTAAGTAAAATTTTTTTTCTTTAAATTGGAATATGCCTTAGCAATGTAAGTTGGTTAGTTAAGATAATATGAAATTTTAAAAGAGCGCCTTGCAACTATCAAATAATATTTTTACTGTGTGTCCTAATGAATACAGTCAGTGGCCATGTATCTAATGTGCCATTTTCACTGTGATAAGAAAACCAGCAGTTTCACATCTAATTAGCTTCAGACAAAAATACAACACTGTATAGTATGTTTATAGTTTGCATTGACGTTGAGATACTCACATTCCCAGCCCTTGTCAGGAAGCTAATGAACATCTGAAATGAATTTCTATCATTCATAGTTTTTACTTATTTTGTCATAGATATGTGGTATTTAATTCAACATATGGTATTTAATTAGGTAGTTTGACAGAGTTTATTTTTAAAATATTAGGCCAAATTTTTACTAAATGATGCTTCACTGTGCAGATTATATTTTTAACAGTCTTTATAGAGTAGATGCATATTCAGAGACTGGAAAGAGCTGCTCTCTGATTTGTTGCACATGTTCTTATATATAAAGAACCAATCTGATCAAATATGAAAATATTATTAAGTATTGTAATTCCCTTCTCTCTGTAGGAAATTGATGGGAAGGCCTTGCTGTTGCTGACCAGTGACACCATGATCAAGTATATGGGGTTGAAGCTCGGAACCGTCTTGAAACTGTGCCACTACATCCAAAAGCTTAAAGAAGAAAAAGGCCTCAACAATTGAATGTTTGCAGAAGTTTAGATTAGGTTTACCAGTTCCTTCTTAAAGTCATTATTCTGTCCTTAGTAGTTTCTGTTTTGTAGAAGGTTCCTCTAAAAATATGTTATATCCACAATTGTAGAATAAGTCAATGATAGGTCAAGTCTACTTATTTAAAAACCATTTAACATTTTAGTATTAGCACATTCAAATTGAAAGTTCATTCTTTATGCCTTTTTGTTATTTTTCATCATATAGTTTACAAATACACTTCATGTAGGAAATAGCAAAAAAAAAACCCTTTGATTTATGTGCATCTTTATATTTAGAGCCACAACAGCTTAAGAGGAAATACAACCTATAGAATGAAATCCATAAGGGAGAATTTTTCCTTAAAAGAGAATCTATAGACATCTTCTCTTTCTCAATTATTTTGTCTGATATGTTTTACCAGTTTCCAGAAAAGAAATAGCTATATAAAGTATTTTACTCTCTGTTTTTATCTTTACATATTGCACTTGTTAGATTTAGAGGGGAAAAATGAGTTTATAGACTTCTTGAAATATTTGTACCAGTTTGGGGATAAATTATAGGATTGATAGAATGGTCATTTTATGCAAGAGATATTTACTTCTGGAGTAGTGTAGGTGGAGTTACTATTTTATTTGTTGAAATACCTGTTATTTTAAAGCTTACACATATAAATAGGAATAAATTGTCCACATCTCTCTATGAAGATACCTATATCCAAGTTTTTAAAAGAATCCTATTTTTGTGACATGTGTTTATTCCTCATATGAGTGCTATTTCATACTTTTCTTTTATTCTGTATGTGAAGTATATACACAAGTAAATCTTTTTAAATTTAAAATGGCATTTTGTACTGTTTCAGAAGTAATAATGATCCAGTATTAATGAGATGTTTTTATTCTGTTATATATGCCATATTTGCTATCACTAGTACCTCTCAGCTTATTCTTCAGGGAAACACAATCACAATCAAAAAACTAATCCTTAGGTTGGTTCCCATTTAGGGAAGTTCTCTGTCTTGTGTAGTATTTCTAATTATTTTACCTGGTTCTGAGCCATTTATCCTGCTAAACTTTGAATGATAACATTAGTTCCAACTTATTGGTTTGGGCTTAACTTTATAATTTTAAAACTTTTAAGAGAAATATGTTTATCATCATTATTCTCTTATTGTTAAATTGTTTAACTTTGGTATAATATTTTTAAGCTATGAGAATTGGTGCTAATAATTGTATTAGCCACTTGTTATAAATGTTAATATGCTGGGCATGGTGGCTCATGCCTATAGTCCAAGTTATTTGGAGGCTGAGAGTGGAGGATTACAACTTTGAGGACAACCTCAGTCTCTTAGTGAGACCCTCTCTTAAAATAAAAACATAAAAAGGGCTGGGGGCCACCCCTGAGTTCAACCTCCAAGGCTACAAAAATAAAAATAAAAAAGTAATTGTTCACCAGGGGCAAGAATGTACACTTTGTTTTTAGACAACCAGCTGTATACACAAGTGTAACTCTTTATTGGGCACATATAATTTAAAGGATAGCTTTATCTATATTATTCCATATGTGGTATGAAGCAAAATTGTAACTTAAACTTGGTCTTCTGTCAAATTGTTTGTATGAAGATGCTGGGCCCAGGTGCTTTAACCTCAGGTGTTTGAAAAATACTATGTTTCACTGTTTTTAGATCTTAAAATATAATAAAGTTGAATAACTGCAACAATTAATGCCAAAGCCTCAGATTTGATTTCTCTTGCTTTCACCATATCACATGAGTGCATGTATTTGTTAAAGGTGAAAAAGGGCCATTTTAGTAAGTTCTGTGGTTTTATATGTTCAATTACTTGAATTTTAAAATATGCCCTGATTCTCTTGTTAAATAGATACCTAGCAGCAAAGGGCAATAGCCTTTAAAGGAGACTCCAGGGGACCCAGAAGAAAATTAAATCAGTGAGTTTTATTTGTGCTCAAAATCTTTGTTGCTGAGGTTTTAATGGCTTATGCGAGTGTGCTGGAAAGTGCCTTCCAAATGCCTCTTCCTGTCTAAGTTTGTGTGTCTCTCTGGCAACTCTGGCTGCTCTTTAACCATTAGGAACAGAAGCTGCCTCTCTGATACACCTGTTGTGTTCCCCCTGCCTTTAGAAGGCCCAGCTTACATGGCAAGTTCCTCTTGGAGAATACAAGTGACAACCAAGTAGCCTTAATTATTCAGCACCTGTGTTCACTCCAGTGAGGACCCAAGCCAGACTCACTGCTGCTGCTTCCCAGCAGTGTGGCCTATGGCAGGCAATGTGTTTTTGGAAACAGAGGGGCCCTGACCAAGGCTCCAGGGATGATGCTCTACAAGTTAGAATGGGGCTGTCAAGTGACCTGAGATTGGAGTGATAAGCACACCTTTTCTTCCCTATCCTGTGTGTAAAATTTTAAACCAGAGGCTGTCTTGCATATTACCTATCCTGTGGTTTTTTTTTTTTGTCCAGACTTTAAAAAATGATCTTTCTTCTAGTTTTGCCTATCAGTCCACCTCTTGACCCTCTGTAGTCCACAGAATTCTTCAACTTGAGCTCTCAGGCCTTCAAGCACATCCAGCGTTTGCTTTGGTCTTTCATCTGGGTGACTTCCCATCACTGGAATGTCTTCTAGTATGTTCTAGAGTGGGATTTCTCAAACTTTTAAACCCAAGTCTTCTCCTGCAGACATAAAAACATCATGCCCTTCTGTAATATTTTTGTACCCTTTTTTATTCTAATTTGTTATATATGACAGCAGAATACATTGAATTCATATTATACATATAGAGCACAATTTTTCGTGTCTCTGGTTGTACACAAAGAATATTCACGCCATTCATGTCTTCATGCATGTACTTAGAGTAATGATGGCCATCTCATTCCACCGTATTTCCTACCCCCATGCTCCCTCCTTTCCCCTCCCTCCCCTTTGCTCTATCGAAAGTTCCTCCATTCCTCCCATGCTCCTCCCCTCCATCCCCATTATGAATCAGCATTCTTATATCAAAGAAAACATTCAGCATTTGGTTTTTGGGGATTGGCTAACTTCACATAGATTATATTCTCCAACCTGCAAATGCCATGATTTTGGATTCAGTGGTAGAGCACTTGCCTAGCATGCATGAAGCACTGGGTTCGGTACCCAGCATCACATAAAAAAGGTATTGTGTTATTCTGTAATATTTGAAATTTGAAAATAACCACTATATCTATTAACAGTGTAAATTGGAGTTCAAACATTTTTCAAACTATGTGATGGATTTTACTTGCACTTGGCTGGTTAAATGAAATAGGTTTAACTGGGGTCTTTTTTTCCCACACTCTAATTTGTTATATATGACAGCAGAATGCATTACAATTCATCTGGGGCCTTTTCTATGGTCTGATTCTAGGATGTGCTTATGAAGTCCTCTGAGATTGGTCAAGGCAATGAGGGAAGCTGTGGGGTACACAGGATGTACAGACAATGGCCTGCCTTTAGAATGTGTGGCACACAGTTTTCTTTCCTCTACTTTCCTGTTATTCAGAATTTCAGTACTGTAACCCTAAACATTTAGATACCTTCCTAGAGGTTTCTTAACAGTCCTGCTGTCTAGCTCTGAGAAACACTTGTTCTTCATGATGTGGTTAAAAAAGGAAATAAGGTTGAAAGGAAATAAGGTGTCAAATGATGTTATAAGCGTAAACACATTCCTTTGTCAGTAAAGACTATCAGGAGTCATGTACAAAGTATCACAAAGAATTAGCAAAACTGGCCAGGTGCAGTGGCACACACCTGTAATCCCAGCAGCTCAGGAGGCTGAGGCAGGAGGATCATGAGTTCAAAGCCAGCCTCAGCAACTTAGCAAGGCACTTAGCAACTCAGCAAGACCCCCTCTCTCTCTCTCTCTCTCTCTCTCTCTCTCTCTCTATATATATATATATATATATATATATATATATATATATTCTATATATATATATACACACACACACATATATATATATATATATATATATATATATATATATATATATATATATATATATATATACATATACATACATACACACACACACAAAAAAAAAATTTACCCTGTCTCTAAATATATGTATAAAATGGCTGGGGATGTGGCTCAGTGGTTAAGTACCCCTGGGTTCAATCTCCAGTACCAAAAAAAAAGAAGAAAAGAATGAAAGAAACAAATACTAGGGTAAATTGCCATCCTGTTTGTTTTAGTCAGCTTTTTCACTGCTTAGACCTGACCAGAACAATTGTAGACGAAGAAGAGTTTATTTGAGGGCTCACAGTTTCAGAGGTCTCAATCCGCAGTCAGCAGGCTCAATTCCTTGGGGCTCAAGGTGCAGCAGAACATCATGGCAGAAGAGTGTGGCAGACAGAAGCAGCTCACATCATGATTAGTAAGCAGAGGAGGCTCCACTCTCCAGATACAAAATATATATCCCAAAGCCAAGCCTCCAATGTCCCACCTCCTCCATCCACACCCTGCCCACCTTCAGTTATCCCTCAGCTAATACCATCAGGGGATTAATTTACTGATTGGGTTAAGGCTCTCCCAACTCAATCATTTCTCCTCTGAACCTTCTTGCATTGTCTCACACATGGGCTTTTTGGGGACACTGCACATCCAAACCATAACACTGTTGAATGAAAATACAGATGTTTAAGAAAATACATCTTATGGTGGAATCTGAGGGTGCTTTTCTGGAAAGAGAAATTGTCAGAAGGGGAAGACCCTCATATCTTCACGACCATCCGTCCATACTCTACCCTCTCAAAAGGTGCCTCTTCACTTTTCACATCTCTGGGTAAATTCCTCCAAGTACAAGACCTGGTTGTTTCAAAGTTATCACCACTCTCTGTTTGGTTTTCTAGTTGTTAACTCTCTATTTATATTTGCTTCTCTGACAAGGAGATTTATTTCTCTTTTTCATTCTTATCACCCCAATATATAATCATCTTACTCACACCTGAAAATGCCCCTAATGATTCTTTTTGTTTTTATTTTAGTTGTTGATAGACCTTTATTTTATTTATTTTTATGTAGTGCTGAGAATCGAACCCAGTGTCTCACACATGCCAGGTAAGTTCACTACCACTGAGCCACAGCCCCAACCCCCTAATGATTCTTATTTGCCAATATACCCTGTTCCTGTGTCCACAAGTCTCTCCCTACTGGGAGAGTCCACTAAAATCAACATCACTGTAAATGACATTACTACCAGGTAAGCTTTTATATATCATAAAATCATGGTGTTCACTGTGGCACTTCAACCACTACGTAAGAGCATGACCTTGCATCTAATTGTCTTAATAGCCCTAGACAAATTTTTAGCAGTTGTGTCACTGTTACGAGATAAGCTGGACAGTTTGGGAATTAAAAATTCTGAGCATATCCCTCCAGCCCCTGCCAAGTTTTCCTCTTTTTAAAGTTCTGCAAATAAGGAATCTGCCAGGTAAGGATATTTCTGGAGGGAACATGATGTATTAGGATACTCTAGGCTTCCATTAGTGATAGACCCAAAATGAAATGTGTCCCAAGTACACTAGCAGCTTATTTCTTACAATCCTAAACAGATATCCCTTTCCCCTTTGGCAACCCTGGCTCCACATTTCCCTGCCAGGGCTTGGGGTTCTTTGATTTCATTTGGCATCACACCTGTCTCTTCTGTTCCCATTGCATCGCCTGGAATTCACTCACATGACCATTCCTTACTGTAGCAGTGCCTGGGAAAATGTGTGCCCACAAAGATGAAGAGATGGGTCTATGGTAAATAGCTAGGGGTCTCAACCATATATCATGATCTTAATAGCAAAACATAACCCATAAACGCCTCATTTAAAGCCCATCAATTTCCCTGTCACATCCTTTTACATGTATTGAACTCTTAAACCTGACTCCTCTTATCCTCTTTCCCTGCTTTACTTTCTCTATATCGCTTAACTCTGTAACTCTTGCCTCCTCACTAAATACGTATAAAAAAATGAAAACGCATAATAGCCCTAAAAACTAAAATGGGCAGGCAAGCTTTTCTAGTCTTTAGACATACTCTACTAGTCCCAGGTTATTGATGCTGGATTGAAAAAATACATACTTCATCAATTCTAAGATGTCCCTCTCTCCCTTCACAAATGAACACATCTGATTTTTGGATGTGTTTTATAATCTGCAGCATCTTCCATGAAGAAGAGTCATTATAGTGACTTGGCTGTGCTTCATCTTATGCTTTTTCCTTTGGGTCATGTTAATTTCAAAGTATCCAGCCAACCCTAGCCAAGTAGGCAGAGGAGACTGATGCCATTCTTGGTGGTGGAGCATGGGGTGATGCATCTACACATCAGAGGCAACACACTGTATGTAAAAGCTGAAGAAAAAACAGTCTCGCAGGAGAAAAGGCTACATTTCCTATTAAAAAAACAAACTCATTGTCATCACTGATGTGGTCAAAAAGTCGACAAGAATGGATAATCACTGCCCAGGAAAATGTGTAGAAATAGAGGCTATTGTGTTAGGTGAAATAAACTACTCAGAAGGCCAAAGGCAGCACGTTTTCTCTCATATGTGGAAGCTGGAGAGGAAAAAGGAAAAGAAAGGTGAGGGGGGAATCTCATGAAAACCAAAGGGAGATCAGTAGAGTAGAGGAAAGGGACCTAGGAACGAGAGGGGAGGGGAAAGGGGAAATACTGGGAAATGATCATGTACAACTATAATTCAC